GCTACCGCGAAGCGCTGCGCCGCGCACGGTGCCCACCACTGCCGTTCGAGCGAACCGCCGCCGCGTTGCTGGCCCTCTCAGTCGCGACGCGCTCGTCACGGGGTGCAGATCGTACGCCGTTCGTCGCTTCGACACCCTTCGTCGCGCGCAGCACGCGCTTCTCACGCGGACTGTCGTCGCCGTACGTCGCGCGGCGTTTACCGCGTCCCGTATTCGTATCCGTATTATTTGTAACGCGCGATCTCGTCGTGAAAACCGCTACGTTGCCGTCGTGATCGTTGTCGTCGCGTTTCGAGGTGGTTGGTGGTGGGTGATTTGATGGTGAAATCTGACTTCTCTCGGACAAAACGCGCCTCAATGCGATAGACATTTCGGTGAGACTGAGATAAGTGTGACAGTAGTTAGAAACTGTTAAGAAAAAATAGAGAGAAAAAATACAGCGAAAAGGAGAGCAAAGATTAATTGAGTGTGCCGCGTGGTGTATTGAAGTAGGGACGTAATTACCCCCTCCCCCCTTGTCGGGACTGTTCTGATCCCTCGGGAAACTCCCCGTCGTGTATGATGCTTCGTAGGGGGAGACAAGGCGAACTCTAACTCTTTTGGGAGCGGTGGGAGTGGATTGAGAGAGTACTCGAGTATACGGTATATTCCGAGCCACGTTTTCGGAGCTAGGCTGAAACGATGCTCGACCGCGACGTCCCAACGGGACGATGACGTCCGCGTCGGTTCGCGTCTGACAGGTCCGCGCACGTTGCCACGAGGCGCGCGGATAAGGCTCTCGTACTCTTCCCGCGTCACTTCGCGCGGACATCTGGAGGTTTTGCGTGTGGCTGTGCATGTGTGTGTTGCAGATGCGGTCTCGTTGCTGATCCGATCAAGGTGAACGTTACCGAGAAGCAGAGGCGAGACGAGCCACGAGGAGGCGACTGGAGGAAGAGACGGAAAGACGAGGAAAAACGGTGGAGAAAGCGTAAAAGGAAAAACTCGCCTGGCGACGTAGAGGAAGCCGAAGGCGTTCCTCTTCGAGAGAGACAAGACAAGCAGAAGCTGCATCACGTTCGATCATGACGCAACAAAGTGGAGCTGGGTCACCCCAGCAGTTCTGTCTGCGCTGGAACAATTATCAGACTAATCTGACCAACGTCTTCGATCAGCTTTTACAGAGCGAAAGTTTCGTGGACGTAACCCTGGCCTGTGACGGTCATAGCGTCAAGGCCCATAAGATGGTCCTATCGGCCTGTAGCCCGTACTTTCAGGCGCTCTTCTTCGACAACCCCTGCCAGCATCCGATAGTCATCATGAAGGACATCAAGTGGCCGGAGCTCAAAGCCGCGGTCGAGTTCATGTACAAGGGCGAGATCAACGTCTCCCAGGAGCAGATCGGGCCATTGCTCAAGGTCGCGGAGAGTCTCAAGATCCGCGGCCTCGCGGACGTCAACAGCGAACAGGAGTTGACGTCCAGGCCGACTCTGGAAGAAGTCGCGACCGCGGCGATGCAGCGGAAGAAGCGTCGCCGGATATCTGGCGATGGCTCACCATCCGGTAACAGTCCGGAACGTGTCGGGTCCGGCAGCATCGGCCCCGACGACGACGTGATCGGTAGTAACATCGTCGTGCCCGAGATTCACAGCATGGTGCCGTCGACGGCCAGCTCGACCCCGAGGTCTCTCGGCTCGCCCAGCACGCCCAGCATCTCCGTCACGCCGCAGATCAACCTGCAGGAACTTCCGGTCTCGCTACCCTTACCGCCACCCCCGCCGCCACCGCCGCAGGGACAGCAGAGCTCGCACCCCCTGCCGACCCACCACGTGCCCGGCCACGTGACTTCCGGTTCGCACGCGCCCGTCAACCACCTGGGCGCCCACAGCCAGCAGCTCAGCGTGCAACAGCAGCAGCAGCAGCAACAACAGCAACAACAGCAGCAGCAACAGCAACATCATCAACAGGGCGCCGGCAATCAACCCGGCGCCGGCGACGACCTCGAGATCAAACCCGGCATCGCGGAGATGATTCGGGAGGAGGAAAGGGTGAGTCGAGTTTTCTTTACCTGTGATCTTCTTCCTTTATCTTCTTCCTTATCTGCGTGACGAATAGTTTATTACTTGAAAATTGATACGTTGCACTTCCGATAATAGATCAATGTCTCTGCGAAAATGATCAAAGAACCGATTAATGTATTAGCATGCAGAACGCTATTAATAGCGTTAAAAGATATCGAGTGAAAAAAGTGACTTTCCGTAATTTATGAAAGAGTTAAATAAAATCTGCGTTAAATGTTAAAAGATTCGAACGCATCAATAATCCTTATTCTCTAAATGTGAAAGGACCTTTTATGCATAATTGTTATATCACAGCAGTATTCGTGTATCTGTGTATCTGTGAAAATTATTGCTAAATTAATCTTATCGACAAAAGAGTGATACTATTTCTTACGATTAATCCTTTTTCCCGTGACAGACATTTGTCTTTGCACGCGTCAGTGCTAATATGTAATTTTCAATGCAAATTGAACAACAAGAATTCCGTAATTGCGCGGAGTGTTGTAATTAGAAGATTTTTATGTTCACGATAACGTCGAATCACTCAGATATGTATTCCGATGCGCTGAATGTAGCTTTCCTGTTTTTATGCCGGCAGAATATTACTTCTTATGCCGAAGATAAATTAGTAGAAATAATATGCAGGAAGAACAAAAAATCGTCAGAATTATACTTGCTTGTTAACGAGAATGGGATAAAAACACCATTTCCGTCAGAAGTAACGTTAGATCTTCAAGAAATATATGCAAAAATGTATAAAAAGATTGATTAGTTCTGCTAGATAATAAATGTACTAGATGAAAAGCTTGAACAAACTCCAGGTATGATTAGAAATTTAAGAAATTCATTTTTAATTTAAATCTCGTTGCATTATCAAGCTGCACTACAAGCCTAATTTTATTAGATGTTGATTGACGTTAAATAAACGAGCGAATAAATTTCTGCGTCGTAACTGGAAATTCGCGCACGCGCATACATTTAAATTTGTTCCAATATTGGATAGGATAAATATGAGGAAAGAGAAATATTCCAATATTTGCCCAACATTTAGAAATAATTTGGCAACGCGGGTGGGTCAATTAAAAGTTTCCTCCGCCGGTCAGAAACGCGCGCGGCTGCGAATTGAATAAGAAACATCGACGTTTCTCTCCCGAGCGAACTCCCGGCGAACTTCCCTCTCTCGATCGAAACTTTCGCGCTCCGGAGTGCGGTTAACCCGAAATAATCGCGCGGGAACGTAATTTTCCCAATAGAAAACAAAGATGTTTCTCTCGTTGGCTATCGTAGCCGCGACCGGTCATTAACGAGAGCATGACGGGTTCGCGTTCCGCGCGCGCCTCATGTCATTAGAGCGCGCGCGTCCTCGTCAATCGACCACGATCCTCGAGGAAGACAACGGCTGCTCTCCCGTATCTACGGCTGACCGGTATAATTGGCCGCTCTTTCGACGGAAAAGTCGCGAACGCACTCGAGACGCGGGACGGCCGCGCCAATTATACGAGACGCCGGACG